ATGATCTAGCATGTTATTAGGATGATTCTAGCATGACCTAGCAAGTTATTAGCATGATTCTAGCATGATTTAACATGTTATTATTGTGATTCAACCATGATTTAGCATGTTTTAGCATGATTCTAGCATGAATTAGCATGTTATTAGCATAATTCTAGCATCACTTAGCATGATTCTAGTACAAATTAGCATGTATTTAGCATAATTTTAGCATGAATTTGCATTTTACCATAAAGCTAGGATGGATGTTATTAACATGATTCTAGCATGAATTAGCATGATTCTAGCATAGATTTGCATGTTATTAGCATGATTCTAGCATGAATTACCATGTTATTAGCATAATTATAGCATGAATTAGCATGATTCTAGCATGACTTAGCATGTTATTAACATGATTCTAGCACGGATTAGCATAATTATAGCATGAATTAGCATGTTATTAAAGGGTCACAAGCTGAGCTGTTGACAGTCGTATGTGTGTCCCACACTGCTAAAAACACTGCCTTCTTTCATGAGTAAGACTTGGTTCAAACTAATCAGCGCGCTCTATTATGTATGCAGTGAAACTTCATTAATATGCATGATAGCCTCTAAGACTGTTTACCAGTTACAGTTTTCAGATGGCAGAGAGACGCTACATTGTGTTGCTAAACGGGAGAACATGAATTGTTTGGAGTTACGGGTCGTCAGTGTTGCTTATATAATTTGCTGCAGTAAGGATTTTGTTTTCATTTCCCCTCTATGAGAGCGCAGCTGGACTCACGTGTGGATCAGTGCACGCGACGCGCGACAGAAATACGTGTTTTTTTTTCCCTGAGAGCTTTTCTCATCTGGAAATGGTGAAATCTGGAAATTGCTGCTCATCTCCTTTTAATAAAGACGCTGATCCAGTTTGTGTTGATAATCCTGTCTTTACAGATTTGGTAAGTGAGCTACTAGTGGTCTTTGTTTGTTTATTCAGAGGCAAAGTTAGTTTGTATCTGTCCGCAGTACTCTTCCAGAGTTTTAAGACAGACCTTAGTCAAATGATTTCTAAGTCAATAAAGTTTACCGTACATTAACATCACTACAATATTATGGACAGAAAAATCTGCTGTAAATGCTGCGCATCTGAGTGTAAATGTTTAAGCACCACAACCAAACTTACCATCGCATTTTGTGACAGGAATAACACACGCGGCTTTCTGACGCAACCTACTGAGTGCATTTAAGTTACAGAGAAATGCGGAGGGTTTTTTGTCTCTCATTCGCTGTGCGGTAACAAACATTGCATGAAAAATACATGCTTCCAGCAATTCCTCAAATGAAATATCTCGTTTGTCACCAGGGGCATGAAGGAAATTCCTGAATGAAAGAAGCCAAACTGCAGTTAAAGTCCACTATTTAATAATTTGGCAAATAATTTGATTACTGATGTCCATGTAAAAACAGTCACTGTCTTTCTCTTCTGCGTCTGTGTATGTTTTGCCTGAGTGAAAATCAGCACGTGCCCAAACTGACACTTCCATTTTTATGCAAAGATTTATGGACCATCCCTTTTTCCTTCCTCCGACACCCCCCCCCCCCCCCCCCCCCCCCAAACAAAACTGGACACGCCCACTTTTCTGACTTTTTACAAAGTAGAGATGTGAAAACACCCTGCTAAAACGGGGGGTGGGGGGTCATAGCCCTTTAGCATGATTCTAGCATGGATTAGCATGTTACTAATATGATACTAGTACAAATTAGCATGTTGTTAGAATAATTCCAGCATGAATTAGCATAATTGTAGCATAAGTTGGCATGTCATTAACATGATTCTACAATGAATTTGTATGTTTTAACATGATTCTAGCATGACTTAGCATGTTATTAACACAGTTCTAGCATGAATTAGCATGTCATTAGCATGATTAGAATATAAATAGCATGTTGCTAGCATGATTGGCATCTCATTATGTTTTCTGTATAAATTAGCATGTCATTAGCATGATTAGCATATGAATTGCATGATGCTAGCATGATTGGCATGTCATTAGCATGTTAGAATTATTAGCATTTGTAGTTACATACAAGATAATATTTCTAAACGTTTCTTTCTTACAGTATTTGGTTATTTATAGTTGTACAGGTAAATATACACAGTACAGTACACATGTCCTTACAAACTTACTATGTCATTACTTTGTACTTACAGTTGAAGTCAGAATTATTAGCCCCCCTTTTTTATTATTATTTTTATTTTTTAAATATTCTTCAAATTATGTTTAACAGAGCAGGGAAATGTTCACAGTATGTCTGATTATTTTTATTTCAGGAGAAAGTCTTAGTTGTTTTATTTCAGCTAGAATAAAAGCAGTTCTTAATTTTTTAAAAACCATTTTAAAGACAAAATTAATAGCCCCTTTAAGCTATATTTTTCCAGATAGTCTACAGAACAAACCATTGTTATACAATAACTTGCCTAATTACCCTAACCTGCCTATTTAAGCCTTTAAATGTCACTTTGAGCTGTATAGAAGTGTCTTGAAAAATATCTAGTCAAATATTATTTACAGTCATCATGGCAAAGATAAAATAAATCAGTTATTAGAGATAGATAAGTTATTAAAACTATTATGTTTAGAAATGGGTTGAGAAAAATCTCTCTTCATCACACAGAAATTGGGGAAAAATATTCAGGGGGGCTAATAATTCTGACTTCAACTGTACATTGCTATTGCATTTATTATTGTTTATTTGTGTATTTCAAGTACAGTATTTGTGTATTTATACATAAATATACACAGTACATATGTAATTACAAACTTTTAGTTTGGATATCATTATTATGTCATTACATTATAATTATTAATTAACAACATTGTATTTGCCTTGTTATAACAATGTAATTAGATGGATTACAGTAGGGCAGAGCGGAGCACAAAGTAACACTTGGTCAAATAATAAACAAAGTATTGGGGTTAGACAAACCATTTGTTTTTACAAACAAAACACAAGCCTCTCCTACAAATGAGCTCTGAAATTATGATCGACGAACCTATGGTTTCAGTGCAGTGTTGCCAAAAGTGCCAGGAGTAAAATGTTACTATTTACCCCACCTGCGGGGCAAGTTATAACAGACAGAAGGTTAGTTGTAACACATGCTTAAAAAGGCAGATTACACACAATTTAAATCCAGTTTACTTTAAATAACAGCTATATTTTCTCAGTACCTAGCTCAATTTATTTTTATTCTACATAGCACAGTATGTTTACTTATTTATTGGATAAATACATTTGAATTTATTTGGATTATTATCCATTATTATACAATGCCTTTATTTGGAGTATTAGCAATAAAATTGTAAGAATTGAAATATTGCAAATATTCTGATATATTTGACAATTCAAAACATGAGCTGAAAACAGAGACTGGTAACTTCACAACTCAGCAAGGGGAATGCGGGAAAAACCAGTTCCTGCTGCATTTGCATCTGAGTATGCTGAAACTCAGCTTCATCCCCCCAACTCACGCATATGGTCATTTCAATGTTTGAATGTTTTAGATTAACCAAACTGACTTTAACTATCATGTTTGATATCATTTGAAATGTCTCAGTGCGATTGGTACAATGGTCTCATCCTCTCAGAAATAGACATAATCAAAACAATAAATATATAACTTCAGGCATCTTTTGAACCACTGTGAAGGGTGTGACTTTTTACACACACCCCCTTCCTTGAGGGAATTCTTGGATTATTTAAGGTAAGGGTTGAGGAAAAACTCAGCGCGATTCTGCCTAACCAGATCAGCCCATAACATGGCTTGTTCTATGTTATGTATATTTCAAAGTCAGGAATGCATCTTTTTCATCTTGGATTTATCTTTGATAATTTGATGTTTTGTATTGATCGTTTATGAATTGACTGATTGAATTGGCATAATACATTTACCTGACTAATAAATTGTTATGTTTTGAATGATTCAAACAGAGTTCGTGTTATTATCTTTAGTAGATTGTGGTAATTTCATAGCACCACAAGCCCCTGTTCAGGTTAGTAGCGGATTAGAACACGGTAGACGGAGCATTGCGGCACGCTACACGATGTCTCTAGAGCTCCGACTAACAAATTGGCATTTATTCATGTAAACTTAGGCTGTAAAAGGATATCTAAGGGGATAGTCCTTCACCCGATAAACTTTTAATACTATTTAGATAGTATAGTGATTATTCAAAGTTACTACTAGTTTAAGTACGACTGGTCTGCTTAATTCTATAGTAATGATCGTTATATGACTAAATAGCTCTGTCTGATTTAGGAGGTAGCAGATCTATGGGGACCGCATAAAAAATATCCTAATCTGAGTAAGTAGGGTTCTGCCTTTTTAGGATAGCGGTCAATCGCCACTGTTTAGTGACCAAGACTGACATGCTTGTGCTTAAGAAATTATATACTCGGCCGGTACAAGATTCAGGATGTTATAGAGATCCCAATGAACGAGAATAACATAAAATGATGAACCGAAGAGAATATTCAATCATAATCTAAATTAATGTGAACGGAAACAAAATAACCTTCTCAATGTTTTATAATTGGAGTCAGATAAAACGAGGATAAACATATTAATATTCTAAACCACCTCATACTAAAATTGGAGTCAGATATGAGTTAAGTTTAATATAAATCAACATTGTGCACTGGAAAGACCGAACATGCAGTGAACCTTCATCCACCATTGGATACCGTCATTGGACCAACTGGCTGGACCCTACAAAATATTTTTGTCAAAAAAAAAAATCGATTAAAAATCATTTTATTAAAAAAAGTTCTCAAAATTAAAAAATATTGTGTTAGTTTAATTGGTGTTCAACAGTGTGTGGCTTAATTTTAACACCCTGTTACAACTAACCCCGCTGTGTCATGTTTTCCTCAAAACTGGCTAGCAGTCACTGTGTGTTTCTTACATCTTTCAAAATGGTTTTATCTTTTAGCCTAGAAGACGGTGATCACAACAATACAAGATTTCACGTTCATACTTTCACAGATTATTTTAAATTAAAAAATATTGACTATAATAAAAAATGGTTTCTCTTGTGTTTCTCATCCATATTTCACCGAACTTATTCAATAATTGCCAGGAAGACATCTGCTGACACTGTGGTGAAAACCTCGGAAGAATGCCATGATCAAGCCTGAGCAAATACCTTAAAACTCTGTGTTATACTTAACCCCACGTTACTTTGTGCCCTGTACTCCCCTATTGTAAATGTCTTCTTGTATACTTCATGTACAGTACAGTATGTTTTATACTGTGTGTTGAAGAGTACAATTGCAAAGAAATATAGAAATGACTAAAACTAGAGATTTAAGTAGTTTTCAGAAATCATGATTTTACATTCAGTATTGAAAATTTCAACTGCAAAAATGTTGAAATATAAGACTTTTAGAGATGGTAGCAATCAAGAGATATAGTATCATATTCCAACTCATTATGTGCTGTGAATGATTTTTACAGCATTAAAGGGATCATCTTCAAGACAATACTTTCTATATAAAATGTGTGTAAAATCTAGACTAAAATCAAAGAGAAACAAAAGTTACATGTTTTATGTTTAGTAGACGTGAATGAGTCGACAGAGAAGCTGACTTAAACTTGCTCAGAGAAACGCTGTTGCTGTCAAACATGGTTTACTACACTAAGCCAGTTTAATGGTGGAGGGATTGATCAAATAGGCCTATTGATAGAAGGTTTGTGAAGACATTTCATGCTCCCTTTTATTAGCATTTTGTAGTATTTTCAAAATATTTTATTATATATAGTATTTTATTTTAATACATTTGAGCTCTCACACAGCTCTCCCACCTTCTACTTACAACAGGGGTTGAGGAGGTTATCAAGCCATCCAGCTTGAAAGACGGAGAGGAAAAGACGAAAGTCTCTGCACGGGCCTGGCCTGAGGTAAAAGTGACACTCATCTGAGAGGTCAAATATTTCATACACAAAACATTTTAAAGACATAAATGCAAACAAACTATTTTAAACACTGCTTGGTGACTACAGTTGACAATGCTTGATTAAAAGTTTTGAATGAGCACATGACACTATTCAGGCATTATTCATTTAGTAGTCATGATGAAATGTTTGCTACTGGAAATAAACACATTTTGTATTATTGCTGGAATCTTATCAAAACATGATCTTATTTTAAACTGTTAACATTAAATGTAATTAAATACATGACCAGCACTTGAGCATTACTTAGGGTCTGTCAGTAGTGATCGCCTGCCTGATTTTTGTTAAAAGGTGGAGGTTGTACAAAATTTGATAGAGGTGGTCACCTCCCTCCTACTTGTCTTTGCAGGAAAAACATCGAGTTACTGTAATAAGATGTGAGTGTTTCCAACAATAATAGAAAATAGTGATAGCTATACATAATTCACATATAAACGTTACTTGATTGATATTAATTCTTCTCTCCAACAAAGATGACTCTAAATATAGTCTTAATGCTTATACATATAACATATCTTAGCAATTCCATGCAAATGTCAACCTTGCCATGAAAAAAATTAAGTTTTCACCAAAATACAGAACCCGTTTCTTTTTTTTTTTTTTTTTTAAGCAAGTATTTTACAGAACTTAAAAAATGTTAAAAAATGTCTCTGTCAGCTTTTTCAAACAATTATATTTGATTTACCAAAGTCACACAAGTGGCAATTTCACATCGGTCACATCCATAACAACATTTTTCCTCATAAAGGCAAAAATATTACATAAAATAAAATCAGTCATTTTTGTTTTATAGAGAGCCAACTCTTATCATTTTGATGATCATTACTTATTTTAGGTCGTGCAGTTAAATTCAAAGAATTTCTACAAAGTATTTTCATTTAAAGTTTAAAACGTATACAGAACGATATTTTTCTGATCCCATAACTCTGTGGTCAGTTGTTCTGGAAACAGTTTAATGAAGTGTTAAACAAATATTTTCTATGTGAATTTATGTTTTGAGTTTTTGCTGCAAATGTCACATCCATAACACTGGAATTGCTCATATATAAATATAAATCTAACTTATTTTCAGCTAAAATCTACTGTATATCAATAAGCTTAAAATTACTTTGTTTCATTTTGTTACTGGATAATAATGTTAGTCTTAGTTTTATGTTTTACTTTACACATATGTCACATGACTAAATGTAGGCCTAATAATGTTATTTTGAGTTTGTTCTGTTAGCAATTACAACATTTAATATAATTTTCTTCAGTTAAATCAAAATTACTTGAGATTATCTAATCTTAAAATGACAGTGTTTTATTTAGTTTCTGGACAATAATATTTCAGAATCAGTTTGATGTTGTATTTACAAGTTTATTTCTTGTATTTATGTAGATATTTGTGGTGAAAATACTGTTCCTTATTATTGAGAAGTGAAAGATTAAAGATTAAAGCTTGTATCTAACTGTCTGTCTATTATATATCTAGTTTAGATAGCTTGTCCAATATGGTGCTGGGATTTTGAATGTAAACATGTGTTCCGGAATGCGCTGTCATAGAAACAGTAGAACGCAGGATTAAAAGTAGAAGACAGTTCAGAATCTCCTCATTGCGTCTTCTCATTGCAGTTGGTAATAGTAGTGTTCCTAGTGAATTCTGTTATTATGGCATTGAAAAGAAAGCGTTGTTCTCAAGACACTCAAGTGTATGATTTACATACTCGTACACCTCCGATATCCAGCGCCAATGTGGCTGAGAACCATTCACCTGTTGGTGTTGGTGAGGAGATTGAGATACAAGTGAGAAAGAAGAGGAGGTGGGAGAGTTTTGAAAAGCCGCTCTCCCTTTACGCTGAGGGTAAATCCAGTCACTGTTTGTCAATCTGACCATGCTTTGTGTTCACTAGATCTCTGTACATGTACATATCGGCCCAGACAGATTCTGTTTTGCTATTTCTGCTGAGAATTTTGTTTAAAAAGTCTGCAGATTTATGAGGAATGATTTTGAGAGTAAAATAACTAAAAACTGAACACATACAATATAAAAAATAACTTTTTAACTTGTTTTAGGTTTTTAACACAAATCTAAGTAGAACCAATTTGGTAATCAAAGTTTCTCATATTTTATACACTAAAAGAGAAATCCTTACAACAATCTGTATTGTACATAAATCATTTAAATAATTGCAGATTATTAATAATATCGCTGAAATATAAAAATGGTATAAATATCAATATTCAATGGACTCAATAATGGGCATAAAATGTGTATGATTCAGATTTGTTGAGGGCAAATTATGAGCATTCACTATAAGAAACCCAATTCATGACTGTTTCTGATCTCTAAGATGAAGTGTGTCTTTACACTTTACATCAAAATACAAATCAATTTTATAAGCCATTATCATTATCATTAATGCATGTGTTACATCTCTAAATACAGATGACAACCAGTGGATGACTTTTCTCAGTGGCCAAAAGAGAAAACGAAGTTGTCACAGCTCTTATGTGAACAATTTCCATCCTCGTACACCTCCGATATCCATCACCAGCCTTCAGTCCACTGATGTTGCTGAGGAAAGTGAGAGAAAGAGGAGAAGGACTGACAGTCCAGAAAAGCTGCTCTCCTGTAAAGTCCAGAAGTCCAGCAGCAGCTCTAGTGAGGAGGACCAGACTCCTGATCAGATTCACAAGAAGAGTTCTGAAGGTAAATCTAGTGGTCATTTGAGAATGTGTGGCCTTCTCTCATGATCCTCTTCAGTATGAAGTAGAGTACATTACAATAAGTTCTGTAAATATAAATATATATTTTTAAAAGCACTCTAAAAGTTTCAATCACTGTTTGCTGTATTTTGAAGTGTCCACCATATCAGTATTGTGCAGGTTCATTTTCACGATGTATTGAATTATTGAATATAGGTATATGTCTATTCCACCTCAAACATTACACACGTGTCTGTCAGTGCTTGACATTTCACATCAGCTGCAATTATTCATCTTTTAACAGGTGACATTCTGGACCAGTATGAACTCGGCAAGGAGATTGGAGAGGGAGGATTTGGCAGCGTCTATGAAGGCAAGCGCTTGGAGGATGGCCTTGAGGTGAACAATCCCTTTAACATATATTATGTTCACTTTTTAGTGCATTTGATGTGATTATAACAGAAGTGTTGTTTTGTTGAACAGGTGGCAGTAAAAATTGCCAGAAAGCCATCGAACATGAAATACATCAACATCGTAAGTAAACGTGTAAAGGCACTGACAACAGTATATTTGGGGAAGCAACATCGCCTAACTAATCTTTCTTCTAGGCTGGTCATCCTGAGCCCCTTCCATTAGAGATCGGCCTGTTGATACTGGCTCATAGAGGCGGCAAGGTTCCAGAGATCATTGAGCTACTGGACTGGCAGGACCAGCAGGATCGTTACATCATGATCCTGGAACGACCTTCACCATGTATAGATCTGTTGGACTTCATAATGTCTCTCGGCTCCATCACTGAACGCCAGGCTCAAAAGATCATGGAGCAGGCAACAACGGCCGGTCTCATGTGCTGCAGACGTGGGGTATTCCACCGGGACATAAAGCTGGAGAACCTGCTGGTCAACACTGACACGCTGGAGGTCAAGCTAATTGACTTTGGCTGTGGAGCTCTTCTCCAGGAATCTGGCTATGACAGTTTCTGTGGTATGTATTAAACTTAACACCTGTAGTCTGGACTGTCAATTTGACCAATCATGTATTTTCATGTTACAGAGAAAACATGCTTTAGTGTTTCATGCTGAGACCAAATCTTGTTCCTTCAGGCACAAAGGAGTACTTCCCACCGGAGTACTACCTAGACGACGAATACCATGCAGAACCATCCACTGTATGGTCTTTAGGAGTTCTGTTATTCCTGCTGCTGTGTCAACGATTTCCTGAAGTCACGGACACGCAGAGGATCGATGATGGAAACTGGACTGAGCCTGGATTGTCAGAAGGTAAGATGTCATTCATCACATCATAGACGAGCAGTTGTAGTTTAAATCATACAAAATCATGGATTAAACTAAGAGTTGGATATTGGATAATGGTGACAATGTTCTGATTCTAAAGGAGAGTAGAGTCAGATCTTATAGATGAATAAAATGACAGCAGATGTAAAGTTGAAGTTGATAATGTGTTTCTCTCACTTCTTCCCACCGTCGTTCTGCACAGAATGCTGTGACTTGATTCAAGCTCTCCTGCAGGAAAACCCAAGCCAGCGGATTCCTCTGGAAGAAATCATTCTCCATCAATGGTTTAAGGTACTGAACTGTAGATCAACTTCTAATGATTTGAAAAATAGATTCTCCTTTCATTTGAAAAAATGTTTTTTTTATTGTACATTTTATGGTTTTTGTTTATTGTGACGAATCTGAATCAATAACCTTGATTTGGTGTGTGTCTGAATGTTTCAGGTCAAGGAATAAGCAATAAGGAATGTAGTGCAAATGGATGGGAAAGATTATTTGCACTACTGAGCACCACAGTTCCTGATGCTAAAAAAGTACAGATTCAACAGTAGAGCTTAAAAAAGGACACAGCAGCAACAAAGAATCCCAGAAAAAAGGTCACAGCAACAACAGAAGATCCAGAAAAAAAAGATCAGGCCTCAAGAAAAGATCCTGGAAAAGACACAAAAGATCCTGAGAAGAGGGCACAGCCCCAACAATAAAAACATTTGTAAATAAAAACATGAATAAAATATACTTTGTCGCACCAGTCCTGTTTTCATAAAAAATACATCAAATCAGCCAAGATGCTGAAAAAGCAGACAGCAGTGAATGAAACACTTAAACAAATTACTCGAACACTTAAGTACCAGGACAACTAAACACATACACACTCACACACACACTTATAAACTGATGTGACTGTAACTGAGCAAGGTTTTGGGAAATTGTGAACAAATTTAGTAATTACAGCACAATGTAGTAAAAAGTGGGTAGAGGACTGTGCAGACACTCTCACACACACACACACATACACACACAGAGACTTGAACATATCTCTTTAAGAGGATATATATAATGATGTTTATACTGTACAGACTGTATTTTTTATTCTTCTACAATAACTTCGGGGTCATTTTCCTCTCGGGGACCAAAAAAAAAGTTCCTGTAAAGTCAAGATCTACTGGTCTGACATTTCCTCATCTATAAGATTGAATAAAAACGTAAGTTCAGACAGTATCAGTCAGAGGCCACTAGAGGACAGACACTAGCCATTCTGCTGGAAAAGCAAAGACAATTGGTTCATTTCAGAACAAGTGTTGAAACCGCATAAGGCCTAAATGACCTTTAACCTTTGATCGGTTTTCCCTCAAGACTCAGTTTTATTACTTGAATTTTTAAAATTTTTTTTGATTTTTTCCACACTGTTCTTAACCCTGGATTACCTAGTAAATTATAAGCAGTGTGAAAGAAAAAGCTAGATTTACCCAGCGCTGAGAATGACCCAGAGTTGACCTTTTCAAGTTTTAAAATCCAAGACACAATTAACAGATGTAAGACTGTGTCGCGGGACCAACGGGATTCAACTAAAATAAAGTGGACAGAGTTTGTCGGCCATGCTGCTTACAATCTCAAAACATCAACAATCACACTCTTACGTAACATCATTAACTGTGTCATACATATAGGCGTTATAACCTGATTAACTTAAGAAATAAACTAAGAAAATTTCTGTGTGTGTGTGTATATATGCGTGCGTGTGTGTGTTGAGACATTCTGAACGATATCTCAATATCTCAAGCATTCAAACATCAGACAGCTTCTAGGCTTTTCGCACACTTAACCCTCTACCGCATGGTGTTGCCATATGGCAACATGATATTTGTGTTCATTCCCCTGTCACTGTTTCTTTAAGACCAACATTGAATTGTTTTAGTTGGAAAGAGAAGACCTTAGTGTGGCCAATGATGTGCTTTGGTTAAGTTACATGACATGGGGCCCTATCATACACCCAGCGCAATGTGGCGCAAGGCGCGGCGCAGTAGTCTTTTAGTAGTTTCAGCTTGGCGCAGGAGTCGATTTGAGGCGTTGTGCTACGCTGTTTAAATAGCAAATGCATTAGCGCTTATATGTGCGCCCATAGGCGTTCTGGTCTAAAAAGGAAGGCGTTCTGAGGCGCACGGCTGGCGCGTTGCTATTTTGAGAAACTATAATAGATTTTTCATTAGACCAAAACAAACCCGGTCTAAACTCCGGCGCAGAGTTGCGCCTCGCTTACGCACTGCTTAATACGCACAAGAAAGCAATAGGCAAATATCTTTACATATGAAAAAAATTAATATTAAGGATATATAGGATATAATAAGAATAGATATAGGATATAAATATAAAGGATTAAAATATTACAAAACATTATTTTTTAGCCTACATAAATATGAAAAATCACTGCTTTATGTCTTCTTCATCTCGGGAGGCTTTTTCAGTTCATTCTTAACAATTTGCTTTTGTATAATGTTATTATTATTAGCAGTATTAATTATTATATCCATATTTATATTTGTTTTATTAAAAACAAGCTTAAATTTGCCCACCTGTCAGGTTTTAGACCATAAGGGGCACAGCATGTGTTTTAGGATATAACTCAGGTTTTTGAGCACATTTTGTTATTATTATTCATTTATTCACTTGCTGGAAATTAGAACTGAATTTAGAAATAGTTTTAAAACGAATATATTTGCGCTTAACAAGCAAAATTATTTATTTATAGACTAATTGATGTCTGTGTGTAAAGGTTTCTCTATTTAAGAGCGAATGTGAAAGTAGATCCATTATCTTTCATTCTCACGCAGTAGATGCTCTGTTTAACAGTTTTCGGTTTAAAAACTGTTAACTGTTAACTTTTTTAACTGTTTGCTAGTGAAATGCTCAGTTTTTCCACTTAGACTTACTTTGCGTCCTGTAAAAAGCGAATGCGCTCTTGGCGAGACGCAGCAGGCTCTTAAAGGGAATGGGAGATGAGACTCTAATTGGTTTATTCTCAAAACACACTTATAACTCATTAAGAAAATAAACTCAACCCTTTTAGACCATGTACCACATCGCAAAGCAGATTTTCCCGTCCTTAAATTAGCAAAAATGCGTTCTGACACACCCTGAAAGCATTTGCGCCCTGCGTTTTACGCTCTGCGCACGGACCGTCAAAATAGAGCCCATGCAGTGTTTTTCTGTGGCGTGATTTCTGGCAGACTGGCGTTCATTGTGAGTAGTTGCTGAATGCAAACGTAAACGTCAATAAAGACAAAGCATCAACTCATGTCAGATCAACAAAGAAATCTTTAACATCATCTCCAGTAAGTTACGATGACATATTCACTACTCATTTTTTTTTTTTATCAATTAAGTTTTCTGTAAATCGTTTAAATGTATGTGTTTCCAAGTGGCAACACTGTGGAATAGTGGAACGTGCAATATTGCAATGGGTTAGCTAGCTAGGTCAGCTGTGAACTTTTAAGTTGCAACAATAACAACATGAATGCTAGTAATATATTGTTGATTAGGTGTATGTTAATGACATTTGCATTATGGATAAAATCTAGTTTTAATGGCAATACTACTTTTGAATAGATATGAGAATGATGCAGACTGGACATTTGGTAAGAGCAGTGATGGAGACAGTTCGAGTAAGTTAGCTCTGAGGCAGATAAGACAGGCGTAGTAAAGTATAGTGTAATTTATAAACATTGTTAGCTAGTAGCTACTTTATTCTGATGTATCTGGATATACTAGACTTGTTATTTATTTGTTATAATATTTACTGGAGAAACTATTTATCTTTACTGTATGTTATATACATGACAATAACATATTAGCTTTTTAGTAATATTAATCAAAAAAAAATTTAATAAATGAAAGCTATTGGAATATCAGCTGTTGGAAAGTATGTACTGTATAAGGTGTCATTTATAAGTTAAGCTCCTTACCCAAGGCTGAGTGTACTCTCAGCAGTCTTATTAAAACTGCTTTAAAATGGTACAATATACATCCAAACTGGCAGCTTATGTACAAAGAAATTCACTTCAAAAGATAAAAAAGGCAAATAACTCAGGAAACAGTTGTTTCCAATCCTCCACTCAAAAGCTCTCCATGACCTCTGACCTGGCTGGTTAGATAAAATACTTTGTAAGAAGTCTACATTGCTGTTTTCTCAGTTATTTGCCAGGGCTTGAGATGAGACTAGAAAATTGAAGAATACTGAAGACGTCGATCAATGCTTGGAGTATGGATGGAAATTATACATCAAATATAAAGAAACAAGAGACAGATGGTAAGGGTGGATTCAGGAGCAAGTCAAAATAAGACAGGAAAATAAGACAAACAACATAAAAAGGTCTTTTAGTGGCGATACCTTCAATACTTCATTGACTGTTTCAAATGCCAGTAGCGGATCTGCTGGTGCTCTTTATAGTTAATTACAAACTTTGACATAGTTAATCAGTATGAGACAAAAATATTGAATAATACTCCAGTCTACACACTGGTCCAAAACTTCCAACTCATGTGTAATAGCAGCAAGAGCAGAGAGCTATTTTTTATATCATCACCTTGAAATTATAAGGTTGTATATGACATTTTTGTCAAAACTGAGTTATTCACATATTCTTATTAAATGACAACTTATCTACATTGTGGCATTTTATTTATAAATTCTCAACATTTTAAAGCTTTGTATTTAGAAAGCAAAAAAGGTTTATCTATAAAGTCGAACTCTAGCTTAACTCTATACGGTTCTTTGTCTTCTTCTTCATTCTTTTATATCACATTTTACCTGTTTTTATGTTTTTTTTTACTCATTTTATTATTTGTTTTTATTTTTATTTTACTTGTTTCTTTTATTCTTGTTTATGTAAAGCACTTTGAATTGCCACTTTGTATGAAATGTGCAATATAATCAAACTTGCCTTGCCTTGCCTTGAGCCAATCAGCATTTCCAATGCACGCATAAGAGCCAATCAGGATCAGCTATCTTTGCCATTTCGCCGGACTGCTTTGTTGACAATGTGAAAGACCAGAATGAAACACAAAATCAGAGTTGACTAAATAATGCAGCACCACATAAAATTGAGCAGAAACCTGAAACTTAAAATGTGTGTAAATATGATGATTTAGAGGCGTTTTTGACATTGAGATGAAATGTTACACATTGTTGAAAAAGAGACAGTTATTAAAAAATGTAGTATTTTCTTTTCGGCTTTGTCCATTCATTAATCTGGGATTGCCACAGGCGCGCACCCTACTTAATGATAGATGCGCACATCTACTTTAGTGAACAGAACCTGCATAGGCTGTGGATAACAGGTAATAAAGTTGTAAATAATAATCAGTTTGTGGCACAGAGTGATCGTTTAGGAGCTGCGCGCAAAATATGAACAGCACTTAGCAGTGAAAATGAAACCGAAATCGTGCACATCATTGAATTATAACACATTTTAGAGTTATGATTGCGACAAGCATTTGATATGTTTTTTCTTTCATAGCGAACACACAGTTGTGCATGAAAATAAATGTTTACAGTGTCAGTATAACTACTCTAGTCTATATAATGTTGATTTTACCAGTGAATAAATGGTCTAATAATTTTGTCAATGACAGATTGCAAGCATAGGCCTATAGCTCAAACATAATTCAACATCAGAATTATTATAAGTAGAATAGAATTATTAATAGAAACCAGTAGACCTACACACCATAATGTTGTTTTACCATGTTTGATAAAAAACAATAATAATTGCAGACTCATATTAACCTTTATTTTACATCTACAGAGTCGTGAGAAAATCGTGAACTTTATTTTAAGCAAAAAATCGTGATTCTCATTTTAGCCAAAATCATGCAGCTCCAGTTCACAGTATGTTAAAAGGTAAACTGAATTATATACATTCATTCTGCATGGTGCTAGTTCAAAGTTAATACGTTGACCTTAAAATTAAAGGGGATGGAAATGTTGTATATTTCGTGGCATTGTTATTTCACTACAGCACCCAGAATGCATTGTGATGTGTACCGAAAATGCCTGGTTGTTGTAGTTGTTATCGAAAAGAGCAAAGTAAAATGGAGAGCAGTCGAGCCAGCCTTTGTGTCATCTTATTCTTTATGCAACGTTCATTATCCACACGTATATATTAGTTTTAGAGGCATATAGATCTCTTTTTGATCTGTTTTATTTTTATGCAGTGCTTTAGCCTATATGTTCATTTCTATGGCCTAAAATGACAGGTTGAAGGGTTGGTCCTCTAATTGCACTTTATATTGAGAAAGCTATGTTCATCATGCTCACTTCATTATGTTGTGAACCACTTGAATTTAAAGTCAATAAAATAATGGCAACAATAAGAAAAGAAAACAAACGGCATCTTGTCATGGCATATATAGGCTTGTTGTGTCTAATATCAATATACCCAAGCTATTCACAGATATTGCCAGATAATCACTGTACCTCACCCATACTTTAAACAGACTGAGGGGGCTTTCACACCTAGACTTTTGTTTTGGAAACTGTCTCGTTTGCCCAGTTAGCGCTGTTCGTTTGGCATATGTGAATTCAGCAATCACGCTCGGATCTGCGCCAAATCAATCGCTTTGAGATTGCTTGAATGAGGTGGTCCCAGCTGAAATTAAACGAACTCTGGAGCAGATAGATTGTAGTGAGAAAACGATACAATCCAAGCCCGTTTA